GGTTCTTCCCCAGTCTCACCGTCTGTGTCGCTACCGTTGTGACTGCGGGGGATGTTGAGTATATTGATTAGATTGAAAACATAAGATAGACTAGGAAATATTCTGGCTTGCCTAGTACTTCAAGATGACCATGCACTCCTATATATATGCCCACGAGGCTCAACCAATACAATGAACAACTATTCCACCAATCCTCTCTCACTTCTAGTAGGGAGTACTACTTTATACTATACTAAAGTATTTCATCAGGAGTAGTTCAGTCCGTCGTCAACTATCCATATTATTATACTCAGTGAGCAAGCATTGTCCAAACAATATTATTTAATTTAGATGTCGCTAGAGAGAGAGATATGGAAAATCAAATTTGTGGAGACGCGACCGGACCCGGCACGCTGGTGATGACAATGAAGTGGCGCCAGCAGATTGTGTGGTTTTGCAAATCCGATAAAAGAATTAATGTAGGTACGTAAATGCATCCGCATGTGGCATGCGTACTACACGCAATATCGCCCAAAGAACTTGTGATAATCTTGCTTGTTCACCTAAACACAACTACCAGGTTTATACATATTCTCATATTCGTCAGAGATCACTGACTTTTACATCGTTGAACTGGTCACCGTTTTCCGTTACTTGCACGCAATATCCTTGAATTCAGTACGTGCATGCAACTAAGCTGCATTGCTACATGAATCACGGAGGCTATCTCAAACGGCAAAATATTGAATGGAAAATCTCTCTCATATATATCCCCTTAAAAGAATACGTTGTCACAAAACAAACAGGCGTCACCATCGGCGGACCACAATCTGTTATGACGAGCCAAATCACGATCCATTATTTGGTTCTAATTTTAAAACTACGTAATAGGTTGATGTCTGAATGAACCAAACAATATGGCTAACATGTACTCCTCCCATGCTTGAAAAGAGGACATATAATTTTTGTTCGAAGTCAAATGATACGAAGTTTGACCAAGCTTATAGTAAAAACTATCAATAATTATAATATCAAATTAGTATTATTACTTGGTTAAAATTATGTACCATTTGACTTCAAACAAAAAGTATATACTTTTGCCATAACGCAAAACTTGGGCCACCTTTTTTATTAATAGATTATGGAGATTGAAGTGGATAATACCCAACGGGTATGATGATGTGTAACTCTTGTGTTCCATGTCCCTATCCACTTATGTTAGGTGGCACATCTTGATCATAAAATTCGTCCGAAATATGTAACTGGCAGGCACGTGCTTATGTAATTAAGGTTACTTAGTGGAGCAGATTTGTATGGATATATTTATTTAAAAGAAACATGAGCAATTGAACCTGCAATTAAGCTCGATTGAGCACCTAGCAGGGAAATTATATGTGTAGAAAAATATCTTTCAGGATTCCTGCAAAAGAATCTTTCAAAAAACAAATTACTGACAGAAGTTCCAAGTATATATGTTAAAGAATTGAGAGTGATTTTTACCAATATGTCCATACGAGTAGCTTTTTGAATAGTAGCGACCTAGGTAGATGCCCTGCTTGACTTTGACCTGAGTTATCTTTTCCAGATGATTATGGAGGTGAAGATTAAGGTAATTCAGTGCTCCATGTTCATAATTTTCATGTTTTGCCTGGAAAACACCATGTTATTTGAAGGAAAGAACCAAGATATCTAATATGTCAGTTAGGCACACGTATGAAGTTACTTAGTGGAGCGGACATGCATTACATTAAGCAAACTTTAAAAAGTTGCGTCACCAACTAAGTTCTAGCAGCCAGCGGATACTACTTTAATCGGTTAATAAGTTCCTCTCGATCGTACTTGACTTGTTCTATTAACTCACGTGAAAGTTCCTGGCTTCCTGCATATCGCCACCCTATTACTTGCGCCACCTTCTCTGTTAATCTGGGGCTATTTAAGCACATCCATCCATGTCTCCTTAGCCAAAGAAACTCACAATGGCATCCTCCACCTCCTCATTCCATCTTCTTGCCGTCCTCCTTGCGCTGGCCTCATGGCAGGCCAGTGCATATGATCCTAGTCCTCTTCAAGATTTCTGCATCGCTGACATGAAGTCCCCTGGTATGCACTACGTATTGTATGCATGTGTATGAGTGAGTCCTTAATTCCATTGATGTAGAAATTCATCTAGTTGTAACATAGCGTTGATCACATCGAAGGTTGCTACATGCTGACAATAATTATCAAAATATTGTTACTACACGCTCACACCACTGCATGTTTATTACTAATTTCTGTACACATGCAGTGCGAGTAAATGGATTTGCGTGCAAGGATCCAATGGCTGCAAGCTCGGACGACTTCTTCAATCCGGCCATGCTTGATAAGGCTAGGGATACAAAGGCCAGCAAGGTCAGGTCCAACGTCACCAACATCAATGTCATAAATTTCCCTGGCCTCAACACCCTGGGTATCTCTCTGGCACGCATCGATTATGGACCACTAGGTGTGAACACGCCACACATACACCCCCGTGCCACTGAGCTCTTGACCGTGCTTGAGGGAACACTATACCTTGGATTTGTCACATCCAACCCAAATAGGCTCTTCTCTAAGATAGTTACGAAGGGTGATGTATTCGTATTCCCAAAAGCAATGATCCACTTCCAAATGAACCTAGCGCATGACAAGCCAGCGGCCGCGTTGTCCTCGCTCAGCAGCCAAAACCCCGGGGTTATTTCTATTGCCAATGCAGTGTTTGGATCAAAGCCGCCGATTTCAGATGATGTTCTGGCCACGGCATTTCAGGTGGAAAAGGATCTGATACACTGGCTCCAGTCTCAGTTCTGGGAAAATAACAACTACTAAATATTATCTGTTATTTGCACCTATTGGAAATTTAATATGTGACACTATATAGAATAAATGGCATGTAATTAATATTTATGCATGCCTGCGAGCTGCGAGTTTTTCTTTTCTTTCTATATTGTGACAAAATATGTTTTCGTCGGATTCATGTCATAATCCATTGGCGGTGTTGTTATTTCATTGTTTAATAAATGGAATGTGGATGTGCTCCTTTCGCTCGTTGCTGATGCAGAAAGCTCCATGAAGTTAGTGGAAGAAAACAACAATTTATATCTACAAGAAGCTTGTTTCTCGGTGACATGATATTTTGTTCGTTAGAACCAAGAAAAACAAATTTGTCTAAACAGAGATGTTTCTCGGTGACTAGTGGTGCTATCCTTGACCGTGCTCGTCGCGCAACAGAGTTGTGCTATACACCTATCTTAATATATGGAACATTTCAAATGGCATGTGGACAATTGTCTAAAAAAGTGTACACCTTTATACTCCACATTCCACGAGGAACAAAAAATAGTCGTAATAACATGGGATTGAATTATTAGCCTAGGTCTATCTACAGGGCTGGTAACTTAACTGGTTGTCTCACAATTGGAAATGCAGTACATGCTGACGGCCAAAGATATGTAGTCAGCATATATGCATGCACACCGACGACACAGTCGGCAACCTCGGTCGTCAGCAAAGCTTTCTATTCGTCGACGACAACCGTCGGCAAATATCAGCCGTCGGCAAAGCACCAACCTAAGTCGATGGGGTCCATCGGCAAAGATAGATCGCCGGCAAAGCACGCATACACGCCAACGGTGCCCGTTGGCATATATCTGTCCGTCAGCACTGATGACCCACAAGTATAGGGGATCGTCTGTCTTCAAGGGTATTATTTCATCCAAACTTATTGATTTGACACAAGGAGAGCCAAATAATATTTATATGTCTTAGCAGTTGAGTTGTCAATTCAATCGCACCTAAGAAGCAAACTCTTGCAACAATTTACTAGTAGCACAGTGATATGATGATTTTGATAGCAAAAGTAACAATAACGTCAACGGTAACAGTAGCAGTTTTGTAACAAGTGTAACAGCAGCAACAACAATAGTAACTTAGCAAAGACAATATGAGCAAAGCGTAGGCATTGGATAAGTGATGGATATTTATGGATGGCATTCTTTATATAACCGCCAGAATTTAGAGCGATACATAACAACTCCAATTTATTAATCATATGTAGGCATATATTCCATATATAGTCATACGTGCTTGCACTTGCATGGCATATTTTGTCCTACCGTACCGTGGCAGCGGGGTCCTAATGGAAATCTAAGGGTAATTAAGGCGCTTCTTTTAATAGAGGACCAGAACAAAACATTAACACATAGTGAATACATGAACTCCTCGAATGACAGTCATCCCAAGAGAGTATCTTAATTGTTGTCACATTGGGGACCTACGTATCCGAACAACAACAAGTGCATATAATTTGCAGATAGGATCTAGAACTCAAATATATTCATGGAAACATAATAGGTCAATATCAGAACATAGTGGATATACTACAGATCAAGCCCTAACAACTTGACTTGATTATATGACAAATATCATCCATCTCCATCACCGTCTAGCAAACCTATGAAGAAATTACCCACTTTCAGTGGCGAGCATCATAAAATTGTTGATGGAGAAGAATTGTTCATGATGATGGCGACGAATCCACCTCTCTGGAGCACTGAACGGACTCCAGATCATCTCTCCCACTGAAGAATAGGAGGTGGCAGTGGCTCCGCATCGTAAAACATGATGATTTTTTCCCCTTGATTTTTTCTCCGGAAAACGGAACTTATAGGACTGGAATTAGGTCAGGCGGACACACGTGGGCCCCACAAGGCAATTGGGCGCGCCTTGGACGGTAGGAGTGCTCAGGTGCCTTGTGGCTTCCTGGTGGGCCCTCTCTGGCAGGTATTTGTTCCATTATTTTTTATATATACAATAAAAAATTGCTGCTAAGATTTCATCCAATTTTGAGAACTATTTTTTTTGCATAAAAAATAATACCAAGTTAGTTCTGCTGAAAACATCATTAGTCCGGGTTAGTTCAATTTAAATCATGCAAACTAGAGTCCAAAACAAGAGCGAATGTGTTTGGAAAAGTAGATATATTGGAGACGTATCAGGCGCACACCCAACGTCTAATGGAAGGCTGACACTGTTACAGCTATGACGATGGCCCTCATGGTTGCCGTTGCAATAGATGTTTTTTAGACATTTTTATCTTTTATAAAAGGTTGACCCCTTATGCCGAGGACCAAGCGTTCATCATCTGGTTTTAAAAGGCGGCATGGCTGAACGGCCGTGTGGTATGGATGTGGATCAACGCCAGCCAGCGAATGTCCTTGATCAGATCATTGACTTCCCTCAAAAAATCAAGGTCTTCCTCCTCTTCTCCATGGAGTTTGATGCCTGCAAATTGGTCTTCTAGATCTGGTTTAGGCCCAAAGTAATCACTGAATTCAACTTCCTCTTCTGCAGATCTCACGTTCCCATCTCCTGAAGGAACAGCAGCCACACATCCCTTCACATCTGCCTCCACCTAGCTCACCCCAGACTTCGCCTTCTTCTCTCCAAACTAATGCTCTTCTTCGCTCCAACCCGGTCTGTTGGAAAACATTGCATGGAAAACAAAAAAAAATCTACGCACACACAAGATCTATCCATGGAGATGCATAGCTACGAGAGGGGTAGAGCATCAACATACCCTTATAGATCACTAAGCGGAAGCGTTTATCAACACGGTTGATGTAGTCGTACACCTTCACAATCCGTTCCGATCAAGCACCGAACATACGGCACCTCCACGTTCAGCACACGTTCAACTCGATGATGTCCTCGCCTTCTTGATCCAGGAATAGGAGCGAAGTAGTAAATGAGTTCCGGCAGCACGACAGCGTGGTGACGTTGGTGGTGAAACTATTTCCGCTGGGCTTTGCCAAGCACAACGGATTTAGAGCAAAGGATGGACTAGAGGGAGGAGATTATAACCACACGGGGCTTCTAATTATGATGATTATAGGTAGCTAGGGCTAGCTCTAATTAGTCAACTAGGACCAACTAGAACTAGAAGTAGATCAACTAGAGGAGGCTCAAAAACTTGTGTTCTAGGGGCTAGCTCTGCTTCTCTATTTATATATTGAGCCCTGGAGTCGTTACTTGGGGAGAGGTCCTCCCAAAAGTCGGCTTGGAACGCAAGGAAGAGTCCTTCTCGGATTCTAGCAACGGACGCCGTGGTCCTCGGCACTTGTTATTACTCTTAATTAACATTGTAGCAATGACCCTCATTGCATCCATAACTTCTTCTGAAATACTTTTTAATTACACTTGTTAATGATGCCTGCTGTAACTGTAAGTGACCGGTACATCTGCAGCACATAGAAATATATTGAATTTCTTATCTCTAACCAGGCTCGATTTATTTGAGGTTGAATAGCCTATATCTCTTTTGTTGCTAGAGTTTATTAGTTTGGGCATTTTAATTTTCGTTCGCTTGACAGGTACTAGTTTACATGAGAAGAATTTTGAAAACATTTGTATATCCCTCAGCTAAATTCTTCATTATGATGTAGCTAAATATTTTTATAGAATATTATTTGAATTTTACAACATATATGTTGTTGATTAGCTATTGCTAGTATCAAAAGGTTATCTCCTAAACACATGTAGAAATTTGCTATGCAAGTGGGCTATTTATATCAAGTTACATTTGTCCCTTCATCTGACTCTGTTACTTTCTCTTAATCATTTCTTCTTATCTGAAAAATTATCAGAATTGCCTGACTTCTTACCTGTCTAAATATAGGTGATGCCGGTGGATGTGATGGAGCTTAAATGTTGCCTAATTGTATTGTTTGATGTGCCAAGGTGCTAAATGGTTCAATAAGGGAGGAACATCTTCAACGTTAGTTTGTTAGATTTGGAATTTTTTATGAAAATTATCTTGCTCCCAGTGTTGAGTGTGTGTCCTAGGAAATAAAAGCCAGGAACATTGAGTTCACATATCTTGTTCATAAACTATGTGTAACTATGTATGCATCATAGGTTCTAGTATTATGTTTTTGGTGTACCTTTGGTGATTTTGTTTTCTCTGGGTGAAGGATTTGAATACATAAACCTAGGAATTCCATGCTGCCCAGGTAATGTACAAGTTGGTTTTCACAGCAATATGGTCCCAATGTGTATATGCTACTAAGTATTCCCTATGTAAACAAATATAAGGCGTTTTAGATCACTAATTTGTTTGCAGAGGGAGTGTATCTTAGTCTAGCCAAGTCTGTAATGTTGATCATCAGGAAAAAAGAAGTCTCTAGTGTAGTGGATTTCAGCTTGCAAGGCATGTCGCAAGTCTTAATTGACAGATCTTAATATTTTTTGACATAGCACACTTATTTTGCAACATACATAGTACAGACTAGGAACTATTGAGGGATGAACTAAGCGAGAAGGATTGATCAAATAAAAAATCCTGACAAGGCTACCCTACTACCCTTCACGTATCATGAGAAGTACTCGGTTCCATTTCCTGATTTAGTCAGCAAGTTTGATGTGATAGTGCACCATGATCCTTGGGTGAAACTGTCTTGTGTAGAAATGACCGTTAAACTTGTGTGTTGACTATGAGATGATCAAGTATTCTTTCAAGTGTTGACTATCAGATGATCAAGTTTAATGCCCAATTGTTAGTCTGGTGACATTCTGGTTTATTATCAATTCACAGCTGTGAATTATTGAACTAGTCTGCTGGAACTGGTGTTTTCAACAGACAAAGGATCGGCTTGTTTATTGGAACTTCGGTAGTTTAGACCCCTTGTTTTCCATGCACGAAAATTGTGAGCATACCGTTCAGTGTGATTCATCCAGTGCTTGGGTGAATCATATCCTCGTCCTTAGCTTGCTGTTCATGTTTTCTTCATCTTCTAAAAGTTGAAAGCGAGACATAGGTAGCATTCAGCTGT